CTGCTGATGATGGCACCAACACGTTGCTTCAGAAACAGTTCTCCAGATCTGACTTGCTTGTCCATGTGGTTAGGATATGAAGAATAGTTTTTGGTACTGTGATGCAGAAAGAAAAACAGACCAGAACAGCTAGGTAAATGGTAATGCTGCATTTTGGTTTTGAGGTTTTTTTGTTTTACAGTTTGAGTATAGCAAGATGTTCCTCAACAACTGAATTGAGTTGCATGTTAGTTGTGGTGGTTGTACTTTCCTTGGAGCACATGTGAAGGATAGCTTTCCACTGTTACTTGGGTACATCTTGTTTCCTGACAAGAAAGCCAGTGTTTTGTGAAGTTATTTTGGCAGAGTTGCTTGACAGGTTATGGCTTGCTCACTGTGATTAGCTTAGGATAATTAGTACTAATAGGCTCACAAAGAGCAGCTTACTCAGTTCTGGGCTGTTGGAAGTTGCAGAGGGGTTTTTTTTTATTTGTTTTTCCCTCTTTTTAATGTGGCGAAGCAGCATAAATGGGGCAGTTTAGCGGTCAGTGTTCTGCAGTGCATTGACAAGCTATACTGAAGTAAAGATTAAAAATAATCCGTGTGTGTGTGCACACATGCGCACTGTGCCGGGCTGGGGGAGGTTAGCAGAGTTCCAGGGCTGTGAATAGAAACAGCCTTTCCAGCCTCCTTCCTGCTGCCTATCCCTGCTGGATGGGATGCTGCTAGGAGGGAGAGGGACTGTCTGCACCGCAGTCGATCCCTGTGTTATCACCAGTATTTGTGCTCCCTCCATGGGCATGAGGCTCCCCAGGGACTGCCCACATGCCCTGCTGCTGCTCCTGCTAGGGGAGGGAGACCCCAGAAGCCCCTTCCCCACTGGAGTAGAGGGGCTGTGTAGGTGGGTAGGCAGCATTGCCTCGACTGAGGGAGCGAAGGAGGAAAGCTGCAGCATGCTTGGATCTGCTCTTTATGGTGTTTCAAAATGAGGTCTGAGGCCAGTAATGCAGATGTCATGGTAGTGTTGGCCCAAAGCAGTGCTGTACTTAGGGCCATGTCTGCTTAGAAGTGCACACCATGGTGCTGTTACACCCATCAGTCATAAACAAATAGGTGAGGGGTTTTAAAATTTGGGTTTTTTTCCAATCAAGCTAGGCATAATCTTTTAGAAATTAAAATCGAGGTGTATTCTGAAATAGCTCAATGAAGAAAGATTTCCCTAACTTGCTTTTATGTGTATTGCCACAGAAGCTGCTAGTCTTGTCTTGTATGTCAGACTCTTTCTGTTCCATTGAAACTGCTTGATGAAGGTCTTGGTCACCTGATGGAAAGTGTACTTTCTAGACAGCTTGATGAAAGTGTGTTCAGTAATTGTAGGGATCAAAATGAGAGCTGACCAGAGGTTTTGTAGGGGAGCTTTTTTGTTTGTTTGGTTTTGTCATCCTCAGAATACATTGGGTATTTATCAGAAGATCCTTGTTCTGTTTTGGATCCAGTTAAAACAATTACAAGCTTACCCATTGCTTGTGTGCCAAATACAGATCCAACTTTTGTAATGGCTTTTGTTGACTAGGATTTCTACTATTGGTTTTTGTATTATCTTTGCAACACTTAAATAGCTACTAAATAGCCTTACCAATAGTTTACAATAGATGTAAAGACTCAGAGAAGCATCAGGGTTGGAAGAGACCTTTAAGATCATCATCAAGTCCAACAAGCACCTAGCACCAACAAAACACACATTTCAGCTGAACTTCACAATTACAGAAACCACCAGAGCAGAGGGATCACTTGATAGTTTCATAGTATGTTAAGGGGTTGGAATGGACCTTAGAGATCATCCAGTCCCAACCCCTGCTCTGGGCAGGGACACCTCCCACCAGAGCAGGTTGCTCAAGGCTTTAGCCAACCTGGCTGTGAACACTGCCAGGGTTGGGGCAATTACAGCCTCCCTGGGCAACCTGGGACAGTGTCTCACCACCCTCACAGGAAAAACCCTCTTCCTATTATCTAATCTAAATCTCCCCACTTTCAATTTATGCCCTTTACTCCTTGTCCTGTAACTGCAATTCCTAACCAAGAGTCCCTCTCCAGCTCCCCCGTAGACCTTTCAGGTCCTGGAAGGTTATGATGAAGTCTCCACACAACCTTCTCTTCTCCAGGCTGAACAGTACTTCAATATTTCTGCATAACTTCAGTAAAAACCTTAACTATTTTCCATGCCACGAAGTTATGTCTAGCTGTCTTGTTCATTATAAAGTAAGCTCTCACTGTGTTTGCATACTTTGCTGCTTCTAATTGCTGCATAGAATCTTGCACCTCAGTGGTTCCCCAATGTGTTTTAAATACCTGATCGCTTTCAGATTATTGCAGATTGGTAAGTAACTTTCTCAACATGTGAAATAGAAAAATCAAACCAAAAGTCCCAATAGCATTCAGCTGGTTGCCAAGGAGAACTTATCTTGTAAAGATAATTTGGAAACTAACACGTTATTTTAATAGATGTACACTGAATTCTTTTGGGAGAAGTAATACAGGTACTTGCATCTTTGGCAGTTATGGGTTACTGGGGGCCATAGACCACTAGCAAATATTTCAGTGCAAAATGCAGGCATAGTTTCTGGGACAGGAGCCAGGGCTTAGGCTTCCTTCTGTCACCTTCCAGTGAACAGAACATATCTCTGGGGTACAGTCATGTTTGCTTTTGCTCTTTCCTTTTCTATGGAAGGTTGGAAAGTACTGCACTTGATTCTCTTATGTAGGGAAGTGTCAGTGGTATGATGTTGTATAATGGTTTTGATGTGTTTTTCTTTACCTGAGTTATGTCTCTGACTTCTGATAGCAGCCACATAGCTAGAAAAATTGAATTTGCATCATCATTTAGGTATGTGTTTGAATTTGAAAGGTTTTGTAGATGGCTCTCTGTCCAAGCATCTGATTTCTTGAATACTAGTATAGCTCTTTTTTGGCAATATCTGTGCATGTGTCCTTAAGTCTCAGGTGCTCAGTCTCAAAACAGAATCACGTGCAGTTTTGTAGGTTAGTAGTCACTCAATTAGTGAAACAAGTTGAAGCTGTAACGTGTGTAACTGGTTAATTTCAGGAGGATTGCTGGGTCCCTGTTCGGCAAAGTAGGTGGATGTGTCAGGCAAAGACTTGATAAATCTGAATAGAGGGCTTGGTTTGTTTTCAAAAACAGGCAGAAGAAAGCACTTTCACCTTGAGAGAAGTGTCTGGTAACAGGATGTGTGTGTGAATGAATGCTCTGTGTGGAGTTCCCTCAAATATCAACTATGTTATTAAAGCACCAATTGCTTTCCTGCCTGGTTTGGATCCAGTGTAATAATTTTATGTTTTCACTCATTCTTTCATCTTCCCGACAACCCTTTCCTTTCCAGATACAAATCTAAGTTCCCTTAAACAAGCAAAATTTATTTTTTTTCTAGTGTACTGCTTGGTCATCTTTGCCAGCTTCCCTGTGTAGCCCAAAGAGTGGGTTTTAATGCTTCTCTCAATAAAAAAAAAAAAAAAAAAAGCCAAAATGCCCTGTAAATTTTAAGAATCAGAAAGTATGAAGAAAACCTCTTTGTATGCATTACATATGTATGCTAGAGACATACTGATTTACAGCTACAAACATTGTATTGCTTATTTCCCATTTTGATTTTCAAAATAGGTAATGGAATTAGACGAAACAAAAATAGTAATTTTAGATCTTTTTTTTGCAGGTTTGATCTTGCTATTCTATCTGGTGTTCTATGGCTTCCTAGCAGCACTCTTCACATTCACAATGTGGGTTATGCTTCAGACACTGAGCAGTGATATACCAAAATATCGTGACCGGATTTCTAGTCCAGGTAATGCTGTATTTGTTTTTTCATAAACCTCTCTCTGGTTTAACAGCCAAGTTTCAGTTGAGAGCTTGTTTGAGCTATGAGCTACTTATGGGAAACTGTGATTATTATTCAGTTACTTACAGGTAAAACTTTTTGTGTGGTGAGTTATATACATTTGTTGCATAAATTCAGTCAGTAGCTTTTTGTGTGTATGTGCTAACTTCTGCTGGTTTTTTTCCTCTAAGTTCTTTCCAGTTGAATTTGTCATGTATGTAGACCACAATTTTATCTGCAGAGCCATACAACATGCTGCTGTTGTAGAAGTGGGGTTGTAATTTAATCAAATTGCCTGAAAGAAGCTGTAAAGCAGCTCCCTTAGATCAGATGGAAAGCCACCTGGGCTAGGATTTGATGCTTTGGAGAAGGTACAGGGAGGCTGTACAATGAGCGTGGTCCTTCTCGGGGACATGTAAGGACTTTGCAGAGTTTTTATTGCAGGATTAGATAGTCTCCACCTGATATGGAATGTCTGCAGATTTTGGGGTTGTTAACCTGTTATGTGGGAGTCCACTAAAGAGAGAGGGTCCTGTTTTATGCTGAAGCTAAGCCCATGTAACATTTAGCTGCCACTAGAAGTGGTGTCCTGCTGCTTGGAACTGCAGCTTCCTTTGTGTGCATGCCTGTCTGCTCCCACCATTGGCTGGTTCAAGGAGCTATATGTGACAGAAAAAACCAACCCTGCACAAATAAGAATGACTAATAAGCTGGTTGTCTTTTTTGTTTTTCCTTCAGCCCTTCTTTACCATTATTTTTGGTAAAGATTGTTTTATATATATTACAGAAGTCTGTCATTATAGGCTCTGTTTTGGTGTCACATCTCCATCTTGGAAAAAATTAAAGATTTTCACTCTGAAAGATTTAAAAGATGTTTCTGCATACTTGAACTGCAACAAAGAGATCAGTGTTTTCTAGTCACTCTGGAGATTGTATGTGATTTGTATATGCAACTTAAATGATTGGCTGACCTAAAATTTTGACAAGATAGATCAATTTTTGTAGTAACTTGTCTTAGGGACCAAATTTATGCTCACAGGATAAAACTAAATGGCTAAAAAATATTCATATTTTCATGGAAATGAGACACTGTTTTTTTAAAATGCTTTTCCTTTTTTTTTTGTATTCCAAACTCTTAAAATTGACCAGCATCTTGCAGCTGCACACACACTTAGGATGATACAGTAATCTTTGTGTGAGCAAGTTGCAGTTTTGCCAATGTGGTAAATGTCTCTGGATTCTGAACAGAATTTGTTTGGGTGTAGGGTTCTGGCCTTCTCTTAACAGGTGTTGTCTTGTAAGGGATTTGGAGGATTTGTGCTGTTTTTTCAAGCTAAGAATGGGCCAAATGCTAGAAAGAATAACTAATGAAAAAAAAAAGGAAGTAAAAAAAAAAGAAGGTGGCTTAGTTGGCCATTTCTCCTCATATCCTTTGTGGAAATCAGAACCTTGGAGCTGAGGGTAGCTGTGACTTAATGCTGGACTTGAGTGATGTTTCTTCTCTCTTGCCTCTGGTGGTTCAGGGTATTCATTTTCCTTGATTTTGAAATAAGTTATAAGGGATGTTTATTTTTAAAAAGTGTGTATGCCAGAATTAGTTTTTAATTTAAGAATTCCTATAACATTTCTGAATTAAATCTTTTTATTAACCATGTCTTTAGTAGCTCATACATGAATGTTAATAAAATTGCTTGTTTCTGTTGTAGTGTTTCTCTTTAACTCTGTCATTTTTCACTTTCAGTGAAACATGTAATGTTCCTGGCTGTAAAACTTTAAATCATAAAAACAAATTCTACACAAAAACCTGGATGGTGTAGGTCAGAGGTTTTACTCTTACTTTAAACACACTGGGAAATCTCAAAATTAATTTATTTTATAATTGACATCTGACTTGCATTGTACACTGGGATATAATAGTATAAATCAAATCCAGATGATTTAAAAACCCTTTTTGTTTTTAAATCCCTCTTGGAATTGTAATACAGTTTAATCTCACAATCCTAGATGTGATCCTGTGCTGAGGCTGCTAATTCTGTTCCTCTACCAGAGCCCAAATCCTGCATATCTCTGTCTGTGCATCAGTCCCTCAAATAGCTTCTTCTGTAGAATTTACACCATAGTCTCTAGGCAGACTGTGATCCCCTGGAATTGGAGCAGTCCCTTCCTCTTAGGATTTTTCTGAAGTTCCCCTGAAGCAACAATTCTCTTCAAATTACTGTCTCATTCACTGATGACCAGTTTAGTTGTTTTGTCATACTCTCTTTTCAAAAACACCAAGTCCTTCATTTACAGCATATTTTATAGATATTAACAATCTTTTATCCCCTAAAAGCCCTCAGTGAGTGTGTAAAACCCCTTCAGTGGTTTTTCACCCCTGCTACTGATGAGCTTATATTTTGTTGAATCTCAGTTCTATGCGAAGGCCAGAAAATTACTGTAATGGTGCAAAGTAACGTAGTCAGAAATGGTATTTGTAGTTCTATATGGACTCCAGTCATTAAGGCTGTTGTGGCTTCCATGGAAATTAATTTTAACTGCTGCTATTGCAGAAAAGAGGATTTATGATTCATGGGGAGTCCCACAAAAGAGGTAGAGTTAAGAAGCATCAAACTATATCTGGGATGTTTTAGAATCTAGAAGACGTTTGCGATAAATTTATAGCTTTATTATATACCTTTATTATTTCCCAGTTGAAAGTATTTGTAAGTAATTTCTGCCTTTGGATGAGAAGCTTGGCCATTTCTGTAGACAAATCCAGAAGAGACCTGCGCTACTAAAGCTTGGCCATTTCTGTAGACAAATCCTGCAGAGACCTGTGCTACTTAGCTGCACTTTGGATATGCTTTCCAAAACCTTACTGTGATCGACTGACCTCAGTAACGTATTAAGAATCCAACATTAAGACAACCTAGCCAACTTTATTTTCCACTGTAGTCTCATCTTCTTCAATGTTCATTTTGTATAAAGAAGCCCTGATTTCCTTTTTTTTGTTTTGGGAGATGAGTTTTATTTTCTGCCTTAAACTTGATTCATTTGGAAATCCAGTTTTAACTGGTTTTGCCAGAGGATAGGAAACTACATGGCACCTAAGCCGATACAATTAGTTGCTGCTGTAATTGCAGTTCATTCCTTTATGCCAAATTGGATGTTGATCAAACCATTTTAAGACTGTAACTTTGAAGGAAATTAATCTGATAAAATATAGGTTGGGTTTTGGTTTTTTGTGTTCCTTTATTTTTTCTTTTGTGGAACAGCAATGTCAGTTCTCAGCTGTACTTGAAGGGACAGATGCATGGACACTCATCTGTTAATCACAGCTGCAGGTTTTTATCTGTGCTAATTATTTATACTTAGTAAGAATCACCTTAGGGTAGTGTGAATAAAGCAATCAGTCATACACCCTTTATTTGAACAGATTTCATCTCTTCTTCAGTATCTGGTAGTGTGGTGCTGTTTCATTTGCTGCTGAAGCTGTGATGAAAAATAGAAGCATTAGGTATCTGACGAGAGCTGACGGTGCAGGGCTGTGTGTATTAGCACAGAGTGTGCCTTTTGCTTTCACCTGCTGCAGAAAAATCCCTAGGATTTAACTGGGCACCTTCCTTTACCTTGTGCTGGGAAGAAGGACAGTTCAGCCCTGTCGAGTGCCGATACTCTACGCGTACCTTTCTCAGCCTTCAACCAAAGCTGGGTGTCAGGCTTCCATAATCCATGCCCTTGTTTCTCCTGCCCACTTGGGCTCCCTGGCTCTGGGTGTTGCCTTCAGTACCCCCTGGCAGCATGGAATGGAGGCAGCTCGTGGAACTCTGGGGCTGCAGGGCCTGTGCACAGAGCCTGGGAGCACTCCCCTTCGCACGGCCTGGCTGGGGCATACCCCTGTCCAAGGGGGGTGTACCCCTGTCCAAGGGGGGTGTACCCCTGTCCAAGGGGGGCATGCCCCTTTCTGGGAGTGTCCACCCCTTTCCTGGGGCACGTGCCTGTGGTTTATTAAATTTTCTTGTATTCTCCATGAAACAGATGACATCTAAACTTTCTGTTTGAGGAGATGGCGGAGAAGACTAAAAACTAGCTTGGCTTGTCTGTTTTGATTGGGGTAACCTTCAAGCCATCTTTACGCATAATCACGTTTCTTAAAATACTTGTGGGTTTCTATGAGATTAATGCAATCATAGCTTCGCTCTGTATTGCCTAAAGCTTTGAAACGTTGCTTGAACTGAATGTTTTCTGGGTGTGGTTTTGGGTATTTTTTTCAATTATTTTAAGTTTAATTTGCTGACTGTGGAAAGTGGGCAGTGAATCAGTAAAAATCTTTGCTTGAAACTGATTGAGTTGCTGATTTTGCTTTTCTTAATCATTTGGGTTTGGTTGTGAATTGCAGTTATATATTGGGTTGGATTTAAGCATTAATTAATATAATGCTGATTTTTGGTAATTGGCTTCAAAGACAAACTGCCTTGCAGTACTGTGGAATATAGGGGTAACATCGGTGTTTCTTTACAGATAGACACTTTCCAATTTATGCCTATGATTTTTGAGTAAGTGTAGGAAAGAGAAGTTGTGTAGCTCCTAACTTGCACTTTTTCTCTTTAAGGGCTTATGATTTCGCCAAAGCCAGACACTGCATTGGAATTTTACTTTAACAAGAGTGACAGTGACTCGTATTCAGAATATGTTGAGACACTTAAAACTTTCCTTGCCTGTAAGTAAGTTACTTAAAACTGCCCAAGTAATTCAGGAATCTTAGCGTTAAATACGTTAGTTTCATTTTTTTGCTTGTAGTTACTAATTGCTAATGCAGACTAATGCAAATTCAGGCTTCCTAGAAATATGCATGTTGTTAAAGTCTAGACTTTACAGAAGAAGGTAAGTATCAATGCCTATATTGGACAGGAAGCCTGAGCATCAGGGATAGTGGAGTACATAATGGAGAGGTTTGAGTCCTAGTCCAGTGTTCTGGTGACATGGTTTTTGAGCTACTATAAGATGCAGAAATTACATATGCCAAAAGAATTCAGTGTGAAATACCATAGGTCATGTATTTGGAGGCAAAGTTTATCAGGCATTAGACAATTAGTCTTCATCCGAAATGATTCGATAACTGAATGAGAACCCTTTAGTCTTAAGAACTTGAGTATCTTAAAAAATAAGGCACACAAAGATAAAGTGAATTGCAGTTTATTAATGTTCACCCTGATCCACAGTATTTTTGGGCAGAAATATTAAAACATTGAATTTAGACCGTGGAAGAAAGGTAACATGGGAGAAGACTGAAAGATGGCAAAATCTTGTTAGGCTTTGAAAAAGTGTTAAGAAGGATGTAAGAGATTTAAGTGCTCTGAAAATAGAACTTTGAGAAAACTTAGACAAGTTAACACTATAAATTATATATTTCTATAGGCATCTGCAGGTTTTGGCTACTTAATGTGCTTTCTACCACTGATTTACAAGCTATTTCTGTTCCATAGCATATAATGAGTCAAAGCAGTCCCAAAATATAGACTGTACACCAGGAAAGATTTTTGATCAGGATGATGCTGCTGTTAAAAAGGCATGTCGGTTCAACCTCTCTGACCTTGGACAGTGCTCTGGAAAGGATGATACGAATTTTGGGTATTCTAAAGGAACTCCCTGTGTGCTTGTGAAAATGAACAGAGTAAGTGCCTACTTGTTTTTTAATTCTTAGTCTAAGTGCTCTCAACTACTGCTGTATGAAAAATGACTTTAAAAAAGGACTGAAATACGTGTTCAGTTTACTTTTCAAGATCCTTGCATTTTAGAATAGTGTGATTTACTGAAGTATCTGGCAATTCATGTTTCCAGAGAGTAAAATGAGATGAGCGTTTTGAGCATTCTAATACTTGCAAGTATTGGCTTTGATTACTTGCATCAAAATATCTAAACCCCCTGTTTTAAGGAGTACAGTGCTATTTGGTTTTGCTTACTGTTCTGTGTAACAGATTCTGGGTCACTGTGCAGGTGAGGTGTGCTTGACTTCATGTCTGTATTCTAGAAGTGTAACTAGAATGCAATGCATTCTGCAACTCCTAAACTAAGAGTAAGTATTTGACTCTTCAGTGATGTTACTCATTACTCGATTTGGTAACTGGTTTGAGCCATTAATGTTACATGCTGAATGTAAAATAAGAAATCAGTGCTTTCTGTGGCTGGTGTAACTGTTCCAGCTATCATGAGTAAGCTATATAACTTAACAATGCTTTCTGTCCTAATCTTGGTCAAAAGCTGAGTTCAGGTAACAATGACACTGAATAGATCTACTCCCTGTATGAACTCTGTCGTATTTAGTGAGGAAAAAGTTCAAATTCAATCTGTAAAACTGGAAAGGGGGGAAAAAAGTTTGTAAATATTTTAATTTTCTCTCCTTAGATAATCGGATTAAAGCCTGAAGGAGAACCACATATACAGTGTACACCTAAGGTCAGTTCTGAATGTAAGAAAGAAGTGTGTAGTTAATTTTCCTTGTGATTAGGATGAAAAGTGAAGTAATTAATTTAATTCTCTTCTTGTTAAAGACTTGGTATTTTTGTTTGTTTTTCATCTTGCTTTATGTCTAATTTAGTTTTAGTGTCTTCATTTAGTGTCTAATTTAGTGTCTTCATTTCTTCTTTAGTTTTAGTGTCTTCATTTCTTCAGTGTGTATATATAAAAACATTTTTCGGTTGTTCTCTCATCTTTAGATGTGTTAGAGCTCCCTGACTTGCTTTAGAGTTGAGGAAAATGCATACATGTTATTTGTGGTCTTATTTATTTATTTATTGTGAGTTATATTTTGTTTTTCCATTTCATAACCTCTATTTTTATTTTTTCTCCATGCTGCAAGTGCACCTTAGACAATTTTATAAATGATGGGTAAGACACTGTGTGGAAACTAATGTTACCGCTCAAGTAAAAGTTGCCTTCAAATAAAGTATAAAGTACTTACAGTAATGGCTAATCTGTGCATATTTGTTATGTAGCAATGGATTTACACAGAATGTTTTATGGCAATTATAATAATTACTTTGACTTATGGATATTTTTCCTAGACTGCTTGGAGAGCAGTGAAACCCTTGGTAAGTTGTAGCTTGAGCAAGGGGCAGAGCCATGGCTTTTAGCTTGAGGCAACTGATAAAAATATAGGCTGGGAATTGTCAGCAGGTAATGAGAGAAATACTTGTTAGGGTGTCCTAGGAACCTGTGGTAGGCAGAGGTTTTCATACCTGATTTTTGTGGAGGCTTTGAAAGTTTTGATCTCCCCGTGACAGTCTGTGGCAGTTGGAGATTCCTCCTCTTATTTGAGAATGGTTTCTTTGCTTCCATTCTTCAAAAATACTGTTCTTTTGAAGGAATTACTTCTTTCTTTAGAATAAAGCAATTAAGCTGCTTCTACTAGTACTGTTCTTTGACTTGTCTAGCTTATAATTTTTTCATAGTGTGATAACTCAAATTGGACAGAAGTTTGCCTCTAGCTGAGGTATTGTTCGTGGCAGAGTTTCTCCCTTTGTGATTCCATTGGAACCAATAATGTGTGTCAAGGTGAATTTGCTGATTGCAATCCACTGACTCTTTATTTTAATTATTTTACTATTTAGATCTTTATATTGGTTATTTCCCAGTCTGTCTTTGTAGATATGATTTCTTGAAGTTCACAGCTTTGAATTTCATATTGCTGGTTTTGGCCTCCTCTCTGTAATTTTTCATGACCATTTTAAAGGGATTGAGTTCTCTGCAGTATTTTGCACTACTTAGAGCCTGGTGCCATCAATGAATGCTCGTGGTTTTACATCTCACAAGTCCTCATTTAAAACACTGAATAAGGACCAGGACAATCATCCTCATTTCCACCTGAAATGCCTTGTGATGTGCTGAGAACTAATGTTCAAGTGATTTCTAAAATACTGATGGTAATCCTATGCTCCAGTGATTGTATTTCTTCATATTTCCTCTGTGGGTGCTTTATGAGACAGTGGTAAAAGCTGTACTAAATGAATTACAGATGATTCTTTTTCTTACCCTCTTCGCTGGTTTCACTAGCAAAACAATAAGATTGATTACAACCTGATCATGGTGGGGTTTTTGTAATTTTTTTTTACCCTTTGAGATACGTAGAAGTAAATTGTATGTCATGTATTTTCTTACATCCTCTTTCTGCCAAGTACCAAGTACTGCTTTTGCCATAGCCAGTTAGAATTTCTCTGGTCTACACAAGTGTGGTGGTTTTAAATTTGAAGATTATTAATCTTACTAGTTCTTTGGTGACTTCCAGGGAAACTATGTCAGGCTTTGCCACTTTGAATGCATCTGTTTTATCTTTAACTGATCTCACCCAAGCTCCTCAACATGATTTACCTGTTTAGGAAGGCTTAAGTACCACTTAGAATTCATCCTGTAGACTTGCTGTTGATTTTTGTTTTCCTCTCATCTGTGTTTTTACATGTTTCTTACAGTTATGAGTCTCAGAATGGGTCAAGTTGGATCCAGACAGTTCTTGAATATAACCAGTGGGGGAGAATCCACTCCCTCTCTGGGCAGTCTGTTCCGGTGCACGGTCACCCACACAGGAAAGAAATTCTTCCTCATGTTCAGGTGGAAGTTCCTGTGCATTGGTCTTGCATGTATTGAGAGCAGTTTGGAGCAGTGTCTGCCTGGACTTAACACAAACTGACTTCCCAGTGTAATTTTTCTTACAAGTGTCTCAAGTACAAAATGAGGTTCTTCTGTCTGCACATCCTGCCAGTCTTCATCACCTGAAGCATCATTTAAGTTTTTCAATGTGAAATTTACATTCTTTGGGCATTCTCCTCTGAGGTGATACTTCTTTCTTCTCCTTGCAGTTTTTTTCTATGGGGTTTTTTAGAAATAGAAACATTTTAGATAGATCTGTGATGTCAAAGCCAGCACAGTTACAGCTTTCCCCCCTGCCTTCACGTAGGGGTGCTGTCATCACTGCAATTTCTGTAGATCAGGGAAGTGAGTGCAGTGAGTGCAGTGTCAGACACTAATTACAGCTGGCTCTTCCTCCTGCACCCTAGAGGAACTGATCTGCTGTAGTCCCGAGACTCTCTACAAAGAGTAACAAACCAACAAAAGATTGTTTCCAAGAAGTTTAAAGATCAGCATTTAAGGTCTTTAGTTTGGGGCTGAAGGTGTGCAGTTTCATGTGTGCTGAACATCTTGCAGCAGTGTTCTTCCACGTTGAAACTACCTTTACTGAAAATTGGTAGATTTGATGCATGATATAGGGTTTTTTTAACTACAGAAAAGAGAAAAGCCTTATTTCCCAGATATATCTATTTCTGCTGTTTAGCGACTGCCTTGACTTTGTATTAGGTATCACTTTCTAGTTTGCAAGAAGGAAGAGTTGCAGTATGACTGAGTGACATTACATGCCCTGCTGTTGTCACCATACTGAGCATCCGAGTTACCTTGCTTTTTGTGACAGAAATCTTGGTTGTTTTACAGTGTCTGCTAACAGACATTGCTCTTCTTCTATACCATTTCTTCTCAAATGACCACAGACTGTTCCAGCCCAAGTTCTTTCCTTGGGTCTTTGTATATTATTTCAACATCTGGAAAATAATTCTTTCTAAGACACAGTCTTGATAAAGACTCAGTAAGTGAGGTGGAAGTCTGTATGTGCAGCTAAGTTGTCTGATTTTTAGATTTGCTGACTGTCAGCGACTCTTTGCGGAAACTAAACGGTAAGCAGAAAAAGTGACACTCACTAGTGGACTGATTCTCAAAGTTCTTCAGCAAATGCAGCTTCTTTAGGTGTTTTTTGGTTTGTTTAATCATGTAGGGATGTTAATTAGGATTTAGCAAATGCAGCTTCTTTAGGTGTTTTTTGGTTTGTTTAATCACATAGGGATGTTAATTAGGATTTAATATGAAATAAGACCCCAGGCCCCACAGCAGTTGCATGAGACAGGCAGCTGCATGTCCCAGAACCTCTCTGCTGTTGCACTGATAGCCTAACGCGTACGGAGTTGACTGCATGCAATGCCTTGTGTTTAGCTGCTCCAGAAAGCTCTACTCCCATTTATCCTTCCTATGTTATTCCTGATTCTAGTTATTTGATCATTATTTCAGCAATACATTTGAGAAAATGAGCATTTGCAGCTGCATGAGCTTTAAATAACAAAGAATAATGGTGAAAAGAAACATATTTCTGCTTAGTAGTTATATTTGCTAGCTCAGCGTTCAGAGTGCTTAATAGACATATATTGAAGAATTGCAGTAATTCAGACTGCAAAGGAGTGAGAATGTGACCATATCCTAAAAAACATACTGTATGTTCTTTTCAGGAGGTGAGAAGGTAATCTTGAGCTGTGGTTTGTCCTGTGTTATTTTTTGGTCTTACTGCAGTTGTCTTCTGAACTTTGTAGAGTATCTGTTTATAATTACAGCTGTTGTCGATGGCAATAAAGACAAAAACAACAGAACTTGCTAATACACTTGGAACTTGTGAATTACAGTGAACTAGCAGTGATGAGCTGAGGACATGTTTAACATTTGGGAGGGGGCTGCTTTAATGGCTATATACATATTTTGTATATCTTACAGATTGAGTGACTCCTTAGTTAGAAATTAGGCAGCAGCTTTGTAGGTAGCTGCTGCTTATTCCAAGATTGGGGATTATATTGAGCAATAAGGCATGCATCTGTATATTGTTCCTGCAGGGTGGTGATGGCACACACAACTCTAGTAACATCACCATTTTAAACTCGGGTTTCTGGTTTGGTGCCACCTAACATCAGGAATAACACACCACTGCAGGAAGAGCTCTGTGGCTGGCTGTCAAGGCTTATGTTGTTAAAGATTTGAGAGCCTTAAAAACCTGCCTTTAAACAGTGTGTGCTTCACCAGAATATAAAGGCTTTCTTGTGGATCCTTGGGATTTTCGTTACAGATGGGTTTTTTTGGTTGTTAAACTAATTGCAGTGAGTAGCCTCTTCCCCATTTATTTGACTCAGAAGGAAAGAAGGCAAGCTGTCTTGATTGATTACTGATTCAGATGGCACTGTTAAGCCTTACTGTAGCAGATGTGTGCAGCATGTAACTATTTGCCAAAAATAAATCTATTTTGAAAGTTATTCTAAGAGTTGGTAGGTCAGTTGCCTTTTTTAGGTATCTTGCAGTTTCTCATTGGGTTATAATTCTCATTTTGTATTCATTTTAATGCAGACAGGTGTTAACTTTAAATTTTGTTGCTATCTCCAATCACAGGAAGAAGGCACGGTTGAGATAAACTATTTTCCTCGTCATGGCATGATTGACTTGATGTACTTCCCATACTATGGGAAAAGCTTGCATGTAAGTATACCTTAATGATGTTTTGTAAATGTTTGGTTTCTGTTTGCATGTACAGTTACTAAGACCAGATTGATTCTGAAGTTTGAACTTTGTAATGAAGAACATACATAATAAGTAAAATTACATGCACAGAAACTGCACAGTACTTGATGAGATTCCAGACATGCTTTAGCTGACAGGAGTGAGTAAACTGCATTGTCCTAGTGAAGAAGTGGCTGTACACTCACTGTATTGAGAGCATCTGCTCCTTTGTGTGGTCACTGATATCTTCTGGATCTCTCTGAATGCAGGGAAAGGCAGGAAAAGTCAGCACATTCTTCATATTACAATACACTTTTTAATAGTTAATATTTGGGGGTTTATATATAGGATATGAAGTTTAGAATTCCTTTTGGTATTGTTGATTCTATTTCTCTGTGGCTCTGCACTCATGTTTTCTGTTGGCTCTGTTTCATGAGGGAGCACTTCGAAGTAGCAGATAGGGGTTTTAAATAATAATAAATTTAATAATCATCTTAGTTTTTGTTTGTTTGGTCCATCTATCCTCATTGTATTCTGACATGGATTTTATTTATCTAACTGAAGAACACTTAAAAAAAACCCCCAAACTCAATGTTTATGAACATAGAACACATAGAGTTAGAACTCTGGTTTCTTTTGAAACTTGAATTGAGTTATTTTTTCATTTTCTTCCATAAACTTATGGTCACTATATGCAGAAAAGAGATGAAATTACATTGCCTCTTACTGACCAATTTATTTAGTCTAATAAACATTTTCACTGTTCACCATTGAAGACAAAGGTACTTTTTAAACATAAAACTGTTAGATCCATAGTGTACCAAGGTGGGTGGTTGTAATTTCACCAGAGTGATTTCTGTATTAAATTATTTCTTTGGCAGTTATTTTTCCAGTATACTCTATACTTGCAGCAGTTCCATAACCTTTTTTTTATCCTCATATGGCTTTTACTAATGATGAGTTTGTTTTCATTTAGCATTTGTTTTCACCTTACTTATGGGTGGTTCTGTTTCCCATGTTGTTGCCATGTTTTGTATCAGTAAACTATTCCCTTAGACATGCTAGATCAGGGAAAGACTGAGTTCCTGTGCTTCCAACAGCTAAGGTCAGTATGTGCTCTATCCCACTCTTGGAATGAAAGAACATGGAAAGAGAGCACTGCTTCCATAAGAAATGGAAAATACAGCATCAGGAGACCCTGTCAGGAGGCAGTTTGTACTAAAGATGGAGTGAAGAACTTCCCCAACAAAATTCCTATCTTGCTGCTCTGCTGGTGGAAAATGAAAGATGATGAGAGTAATGAAGATAGGCAGACTCGATGCTATTCCTTGCTTGAATTAGATGATTAAGAAAAGCTTTATTTTTTAAAATTATTTTTCCTCCAGTTTTTGGTTCATTGTCCTTTTTTGTCACTTTGTCTGTAGAATAGGGGCTGTGAGTTTAGGGATTCTTGCCAATGTGAGGCTCAATTCACATAACATTAGTATAGTGTGAAAAAGAAGAGTCAGTCAGAAGAGTTGTGAGAGGTTGAAGTGTTTGGCTGGGTCTCGAGTCTGGATTGATTTCTTGGCTGTGCAAGAGAGTTTTTATATTGTATCAGTGTGGAATTGTTCAGTTACTTTGTTCTGTAAAGGAGTTAAGAGTGTTCAACTGAACTTTCTGCTTTTGTGCTAAGGTAGAGCCATAAAAGTACTAATATCTACAGTTTTTTGGTCAGGGATGGTTATTTGTCTTTTGCTGCTCAGTACAATGAGCCCAACCCCCTGACCTTAGAGAATGTTCTGTTTTTCAGGTGATCTGACTTACTTAGTGGGGATGCTGACTGGCTTCCCTCCTCCCCCAGATTTCATGTTGGCTAATAAAAGCCCATCCTGGTATCATCTGTTCTCAAAACGTCATAGAACTTTGTGTACCTATTTGAAAAATCTTGGTGGTGAGAAGACTTCTCTCCCTGAGGAAACATAGGGATTTTAGTTCTTATTTTTAGAAAACTCCGAACGTTGAGTCTGGTATCACCCTTACAGCTGGAGAGTTTTGAGGGTGCCTTGCCTAGCTGCATTTCCCCCTCCCAGTCTGAAGTTTATAGGAGCACAGGAAAATTTCTGATCTAGGAAAACTGTTATCCAATGAAGCCAATTACTTCAATCTACTTCTTACTAGTACTTCACATTAAAGTTTTCAGCTCATCCACCTCCATGGCATCATTCTTTGTTGGTGAGACTCAGTATTCTGTAGTGCTTTCTGTGGTCAAGAAGTAGAGAAGATAGCCTAAAATAACAGAAATGTAGGGAGCAGTCTTTTAAGTTAATGGGGAGGGGGAAATCTTAACACAAATTGTTGTTCAATTAAAATTTAAGGCTTGTACCTGTATAATACTGTAGTGTTGGGCTTAGTCCACTGATTTATATGAACTGTCACCATGAAAATAATTGATTTGCTTAATCAGCAGTCAGCAGTGTTCACCTAAAATAGTAATAAATCATGGACATATTTTATGAATATTGGATTAAATTCTGCCTTAACAGTATATATTAAGCTCTTATTTAATTCAAAGTCACTTTACAAGAGAATTTGAGTTGTCCTAACTGGATTGGACTGGAAGTACAAAATTGAATTGAGGTATAACACTGGGTTGACAAAAAAATTACTTCTGCTCTCATTCTTAAATTTTATTTTTTATTATAGGGAATGGAGTCACAAATTGTATTTGGTTCCCCAAATATGATTGACCAGGATACTGTCAGGATGGTCAAGGGGAGGTTTCTGTGTAAAGCTAAAAACCAAACACTTTTTAGAATGGATTGCTGCTGAGCAAGTAAATGTGAAAGGGTAGAAAGGAAGCTGGTTTACTAGTATTTGTTGAATCAAGCTTTTGAGGAAAAAAACCCACTAAAACCCTGCTAGAAAAGTTACATTCTGTAGCAGATTACACCCACCCACCCCCAAAACAAACACAGGAGATGATAGATCAGAAGAAAGACACTAATTTCAGAGTAGAGGTTTCCAGAAAAACTGGACTTTATGTAATAGTCAGGGAGAAAGTTACAGGCCTCTGGCAGATACTGTCTGTGACTTAAATTATCTTGGATGTATTAGCTAAGAGATAGTATGAAGAAAGTAGACAACTAACTTGGGTAAATTATCTTGGATGTATTAGCTAAGAGGTAGTATGAAGAAAGTAGACTTGACTAACTTGGGGGGGAAAAAAAAGGTGTCTTACCTGAGTGAGACTGGGTTTGAAAAGCTGGATTCTGAATTAGCTTTTTTCTTAACTGTTCTGATGGTTTAAATGTTAAATGAATGCTAACTTACTCCGGTATCTCAAATATTTTTCCCATCTTTCTGTTTACTAGGCTCACTATTTACAGCCTCTAGTGGCTGTTCAACTAGCAATTAACAGTACCAAAGAAGAAATAGCAATTGAGTGTAAGATCCTGGGCTCACCTAATTTAAAAAACGAAGATGACCGTGACAAGTTTCTGGGACGAATTGCCTTCAAAGTTCAGATGACTGAATAGCTGGAGTACACATTCTCCACAAAGTAAATGTTGTGTTGTCTGTTTTGTGTCAGCTGGACATGCCATTCTAGGATATGAGACCACCTTGGAGAATGTTAAGGTGGTTTATGGCGTTCAGGGTAGCATAATAATATGCTTCCAAATTGTATGTTTAAAATCCCTTAAAATAAATGCCTATCCTGCTTCTGCCTGCCCCATTGGAACAGTGTACAGACTATAGTTATGTCATAGGGACCTGTAAATAGCTGTTTTCAAACACATAATAATGGTGACCTTTGTCCTGTTCTAAAAATGTGGTTTTATCCCCCAAGTGAGTGTCTCAAGCTTAATGTGCTGTGCTATGTAAATATTGTATTGATTTAACACTGGTTTAACTGTCATATCTCAATGCTGACACAGTTAGAGGGATAAATAATAAATGGTACCTGATTGACATAGTGATTCCTTTGTAAGAGAAAACACCTGCAGCATAAATGGTGTGTGTGGGACTGGGTGGGTGGATGGCTGGCTGTGTGGAGATGCCTTAAATTGTAGACTGGGTGGCATGGGAGAATTGAAATGGATTTTAAGAGCTGGTATGGATTTCTGAAAGTAAGTGCTCAACTAGTACTTCCTTGTGCTTGTCACTGTGCAAGTATCGTGTACATGTAGTACTTGGTATAGAGTTTGGTGTTCTAGCTGAAGAATTGAACCTTTCTTTGTGTTGTTAATTGCTTGTAATATGTGGAGCACAAATAAAATCTATACAATATTTTAAAACTTTTTAGTTCAGAAATATCAATAGAAAACAATTTGAATTGTTTAGGGTCCTGGTAACAGCTGTACAACAGAGCTGCTTGAAAGAAGTGGCCTCACTATTGTGGGAATAGGCTTTCATTTTCCAGTTAAAAATTTTCCTGAAGAACCTCTGTTTAAGGAAAAAAAAAAAGAAAAAGATTGTCTTGATTAAACATTGCTGTTTAATTTATATATCTGTTTCGTTGCATCATTTTAACATGTCTCATGTCTTTGTCTGCTCTTTCATCTTGGACCCTGTGTATTTTGTCATCATCCATTTAGAAAATTGGTGTCATCAACTACTGTATAGAAATATCCCATTGGCTTGGAGTGGATTGCTTGCTTAAAGTCCAGTTGCTAAAATGACTGCAAACAGACTGGTTTATTTGTGACTGCTTCTCACACTGAACCAGGCTGAGCCATTATATTGGTCTCTAACTTCTGCAGTTTTGTTGACGTGGGATTTGTGTTACTCTTCCCCAGGGGGTTTGTTTGTTTTGGTCTTGGGGTTTTTTTTTTTTTTTTTTGAGCACATGGTCCACATTCTGATGTCTTCTCAATATTAAAGGCCACAGCAAATCCACATTTGTGTAAATACCTGTATGTTCTACTAGTTAGGCCTAAATTTGTTACTTAACGTGCTTTTATACCTAATATTACAGTGGGGTTTAATATTTTATTTGAACAAATTAAATGAAGGATTACTAAAATTCAAGATCCAGTCTTAATGCCCTGCTTTTGAAAATGTTTGAGGCCAGTCTAAGCCACATTAGTGAAAAACTTTTCACAGCTGTGCAAGCTTACACTGGTGCACAGCTGGAGGAAGCTGCTCTTAATGGGACTTGAACAGTGTCTTAAACCTCATTAAAAATAGATTTATACTGATCTGATACCATTCAGCATGCTTTTTTGTTGTCTGCAAAAGAAAGTTGTTGTTCCTAAAATATGCAATGGATATTTTTGTAATAATGGCATGCATTAATACTGAATGAGATGTTCAGAATATTCCATTACTAATGTTTTAAACGATGCACTTTTAGAGCTGGGGTACCTGGCTTCTTGAGGACATGACTAATTGCTTCTCTGTGTATTAATAATACTGCCTGAAAGTATTTTAATAGTTGTGAGGGAACTTAAAGTGTAGATGTTGCATCTGAAAATGAAAAGGACTAGCTTCATGTAAAAAACTTTTCACATTTTGTGTTCACTTAGGAATGGTAAGAAGTTCTGGACACTCAGTTTTCAAATGAGCTTGTTTTTTGCAACAGTTTTCTCTTTTGACTTATCTATATAGACAAAGCATGAAATGGCAACTCTTCACCAGCACTTTTCAGACAGGTAAAACTCAATAAACTCCTGTTCTCCCTAGATTCTGTACAAGTGTTTTGTTTTTATTTAATCACATAAGGATTATCAGTTGGGGGAGGGGGGTAAAGAAAAAGAGTTTTGAAAGGGTTTAGTTATCAATATTAATGTCAAATGTGCATAGGTAATGAGTCTAGTGTTAAATTGAGCTATTTCTCATTTTTCTTTCTGAGTAATTAAATGATACAGCAGTTATCTGTAAGCAGGTGTACTTAACTATTAGAACAGGATAAGATTACTAATTTTCTTCATAAAACAGTAAGGGATTCTTGACTTCATCTGAAATTATGATTAAAGATTTACATTTACGACCGTGGTACCAGAAACCGAAATGTTTAACTTTATACTGGTAAACACCTGTTTGTCTTCCTAGGTAGCTTTAGTTCCTTTGAGTCTGGACCAAGGGCTTTTAAACACTCTGAAATTGCCAGTTGCTGAGGTGCAAGGGGAAGCTGAAGAGAAGATTGGTAAGAAACAGAGTTAGTTAGCTGTAGGCTCTGTGTACATCGATGATGTAGTAGATAAGATGATCCCTTGAGGACAGATGACATTTAGTGCTGACTTGCAATTACTTCCAGCTGGGGATGAGGCAGCTTCTAGGACACTAGTAATGAAAACTCTTTCCTTTTGCACTGAAATCACTGCTGGAGTAGTTCCCCAGCAGTAGAGAGAAGCAGAATAAATTGAAGAGTAGGAGGAAAAGCTGTGGACTAAAGGAGTTAAGCAGAATAAATTGAAGAGTAGGAGGAAGAGCTGTAGACTAAAGGAGTTGTGAATCAGTATAGAGACAAAGACAAGTGTGGGGAGGGGTTGGTTTTTTTTTGTGTGCTTTTAATTCCCTGTTCCCTGCCTCTTCCTCAGTAGGAAGTTTGGAAAGGCTGAATATATCTTTGCACCAAGCCCTGCTGACTGATTGCCTACAATTTTATAATGTGCTGTTCTTGAGAACCTGGCACTGTATCTGGATTTGCCTATTTCAAGATTTTTTTTTTTTTCTCTCTGTGAAGCTTATTCGTCATAACTTTTGGAGGGTATGAGTCAAAAAGAGCTTGAGGCTGAGCATGAACTTTTGCATACTTAAGCATTCAGAGAGTACACTTTGGTCTTCTTACAAAATGAGGTGGTCTCCTGTGATGGAGCTTTGACTTCCCTAATAGTGAAACAATCATCCTCTTGCCAGTTGGGCACTTTGCTAAAACACATCAGCTTTCACACTAAGTCTACTGTCAAGTTATGGAAGCCTTTTAATGAATTTCTGTTCAGTGTTTGTAGTCAGCATACCTGAAAACTAGCACTTTTTCTCTTAGAGGAGAAATCATTCTGTTAATATCATCTACCATGAAAAATCTTTAATTTGGGCAATTTTTTTTTTTTTTGCATTGTAATAATAGACTATTCAAGGCCTAAATGTCTTCAGAAACAGCTGTTCAGTTTTGCCTGCAGGCCACATGTAGCTCTGTACCTGCTGAGAGCAGAAGAAACTTCACCTACCATGGGCAGAGCTCTGGTCTCCCTTTGCTACAACGTGCTGTCAACTTGGAAAGGGCCCGAGGTGCTTGTGATTCCACCCATGTAAGCTGGGGCAATACAATTATTTCATTGAGTTCTGCCCACCCTCTACGTCAGTACTCAGTTGTTTTTCTGGTTTGGTATTTATTTCTTTTAAGTAGCAAGAAAACGTGGGGCTTCCTTCCAGTTCCTTTAGAAGAATATCCCTTCTGTAAGGGAAGCTTTATGTGTATTAGCTATGCTGGGGGGGAAATAGTTGAAGTAACTTTTAACTTCAGCTGTTTTGCATCATGGATTTTTGTCCTGATACTTGTTTGGTTACAGCTGTTGGGCTACACACCAAAAATGTGACTCCTTTTGCCCTCAAAGTTACCTACAGAGTCAGTGTTGCTGTAGAAAATGACTCCCATCATAGAGGTTTGATTTTACAGTGTCTTAGTTGCTCTTCAATTAAAATATGTAAACTGTCAGTGTCTTGTTAGAAGAAGCTTTTTAACACAAAAGATCAGAATGAATTCCTCTATAGGATACTTTCTACAGCTTTTCTTCCTGTCTAAATGGGAGGGAAGACAATCAGAGAAAAGGTGAGTTGAAGATTTCAGGTTATTGCCATTTGAAGTCTGTTAATTTGGTGACTGATTCTTAGCATAAAATCAGTGTGACCTGAGGGTTGCCAGAAGCTTCCATGCCACTGTGTAGTTTGGTTGGATCAAATAGCTCTAATAAGTCATGACTAAAGGTAAGACCTTTTTTGTCTCTTTAAGTCTCAGGCAAGCACCTAAAGAAGCCAATAAAGGAAATTTCAAAGTTGTACTCACTAGCATGTACTTAAATCTCTTTCTGTGGTGCAGCTCTGAACAGTGGGAATTGCATGGAGCTGTGGAAGCAGTGCCTCATTTTGATTTTGCATTACCTGAAAGGAATTCCTAAGAGCTTAATCTGGATTTGGCATCAGTTCTTTAAAAGAGCTGATGGGTATCAATGTATCAATTTGAAACAAAAAAAATTCTGCATTTAATTTTAGAAAGTATACTTAGCTGTGTATGTTAGGTGTCAGAGAGGGTTATCATCTTTTGAATTTGCTTTGCAGTTGTATGGAATAAAAAGGTGTCCTTCTAGTACCCAAATACTGTGTGACTTGTGAGCATATTAATGCTATTTCTATTTTTCTGACCCAAAAGAGCCCCTACAGTGAGAACTCCTCCAGGGTTTATTGTCCCTAACAAGGTTTCAAACCTGCTGTGGCTGCAGATTCTAACTCCAGAAACTGCCACTTCACTCCTAATTACAAATGGGACAGATGCACTTAACACTATAAATATTTTAATGGCTATTACTTAGTATCAGGTTGTCTGAACATTTGGTGTTCTTGTGAATGAGAAGAACCATAATGCATCAGAGTTTGGGTAAGTTTTAGTGTAAGGAATGGATTTTGCTTAACTCCTGTTTTGTTTTTTTTTGCTTCCTTTTGGGTAAGTTTTAGTGTAAGGAATGGGTTTTGCTTAACTCCTGATTTTTATTTTTTTTTTGCTTCTCGTGGATTTTAACTTTTGAGAGAGGTTAGCATAGAATCAGCACAGCATCTGTAATTCTCTTAAGTTCCTCTAAATGTGTATTGAGAAATTGCTTAATTTAAACATTACAAATGGTTGTAAATTTCAGACCAGTGGATTTAAATATTAGTTTAAAATTGCAAGCAAGTTTACAAATCTAAATTTGCTCTTAAAAAAAGTTGCACAAGTCACTGCCTTTTTTTGAGGTGGCAGGTAGAGTAGCAGCTCATTATTTCATCCTCTCGTTCCCTTACGAAATCCCTTAGCAAACTGCTCAATAATTCTTTGTGCTATTCACTTAAAGCCAACTATACCCACAGGTGTAAAATTAGGAGCTTTTGGAGACCTTTCCCCTGGTCCCCCACCCTCAGCATTTCCAGTGACCAAAGCCCAGCATAGTGAGCCAATAAGGAAGGGAAGTTTGGCTGCTAAAGAAAGCTGGAATATAACAGACATAGGCTTCTATCACTTAATTTCCAAATGCAAGATGACAGTGATGCTGATAGGCATAGAAAAGTTTGCACTGAGGTTCAAGGTGGTGCATTAACCTAGAGGTGAAGCCTGAAACACCTCTTAATTTTATTAGTTGCCTTAAAGGATACAAACCCAGTGAATAACAACCTTCATTACATAAAACCCCTTTAATGTGACAGAGAAGTAATTGACCCCAATTGTTCTTTTGAGTGTTTACCTGTAGGAGTAATATCCTCAC